TCAGACGTGTGCTCTTCCGATCTCCCCAAAACCCCAAAACCCCAAAACCCCGAAGAGAGAATTGAATTTGAAATTAGGCAGGAAATTACCGCATTTTTAATAAATTATAATCTTTAATCAGAAAAAACAAGGCAATCAATCAATGTTTGAAGCAAAGCTCACAGAAGGACTTATTTTAAAGAAGATCGTTGAGTCAATCAAGGATATCGTCACTGACGTCAACATCGACATCTCCCCATCAGGTATGTTACCTAACTTTTGTTTCCGCAGAGCCAAGCTCAATAAACTATACACTCATTTTCTGTTAAACTGATGCTAATTTCAATTATAGGCATTTCCCTCCAAGCCATGGACTCATCTCACGTCGCTTTGGTCTCATTGAACTTGTCAATGGACGGATTCGAGCACTACAGAGCTGACACCAACATGGTATTGGGAGTCTCCATTGCCAACTTGGCTAAAGTCATGAAATTGGCTGACAACAACGACCAAATCACCCTCCAGGCAGACCAAGAAGCCACCCACCTCAAGATTATCTTCGAGAACCCCAAGACCGAGAGAACCACTGAGTTCAACTTGAACCTCATCACCATCGACAGCGAGCACCTCGCCATCCCAGAGACCGAGTACTCCTCAGTCGTGACCATCAACTCAGGAGAGTTCTCCAAGATCTGCAAGGAGCTCTTCTCTCTCAGCGAGACTGTTTAAATCACCACCAACACTGACTACGTTCAATTCTCAGTTGAAGGTGAAGTCGGTTCTGGGCAGGTCAGACTCGGACACAACGACTCAGAAAAGAAGGAAGACCAAACCATTCTTGAAGTCAGCGAGAGCGTCCAGTAATAGTTCGCCATCAGATACCTCAACATGTTCAACAAGGCATCCACTCTCTCTAGCTTTACCAGACTCTGCCTCCACCAAGAGCAACCACTTGTAGTTGAGTTCAAAATCGATAACCTAGGTGTACTCAAGTACTTCTTGGCCCCCAAGATCAGCGATGAATGAGAGTAAGAGTAAAAGCAGATCTAGCTTAGTGATTGATCATGATAAATATATACAAGTTGTTTTTATTTGCGATATAAGTATTCTTTCCTTCTAAATTACGCAAATTCTTCTCATTGGGGTTTTGGGGTTTTGGGGTTTTGGGG